ATTTTTTAGATAAAAAAGAAAAATTTTAAAGCAAGCGTTTTTCAAATGTTTTTTGGACTAAAGTTATTTTTGTTTTGAAACTTTCCTGGTTTTGAAACTTTGCAAGTTGCTAATTTTAAGTTTGTTATTGCTTTATGTTTCCGCATTTCGCTGTTCTGTTATACTCTCATTTTTTAGAAGTTTTTCAAATATATAAAAAAAAGTAGGTTTCCTAACAGACATTTTTTGATATATTGTGGTTTTAAAAAATAAACAAGGATTAAAAGAGATAAGTGAGACGCGCTGTTGAGAAAGCGAAAACTATGAAAGTTTAAGTGCTTACCATACTGTCGTATACACTTGATATTTGCACTCTCTAACTAAATTTCTGCAGCTTCACACTCTGTTTTCCAAATTGAACTAGTGATTGTTCAGTTTAGCCTATTAGCGCAAACCTGCAAAAGAAACACAGGGTAAAATCTGTTAACCAATTTTCAACACAACTTTAGTTATCACAAAATAACTGCAGGAGAAAAGAGATGTGTAAGGCTACAAAACTTTCTATATTTTCATTAAGCAATCGATTGTTACAAAATTCGAGAATTTAATTTTTATAGAGAAACAAATTATTGTTGTAAAAAACAATTTTATGCATCTGCTCTTGTAGACAGTTTAGGATTATAACTTTGTTCATGTTTACCACATAACCCGCTGAACTGTAACAGCTGTTGGACTAGTTTATCAAATTATGATCAGAAACTATCGCACTTAATGATTCCTGAGCATATATGTCACTAATCCCAAAAAACTATCTTTATAACATTGAATCGTCGATTTTCAAGGGAAATGCTCAAGAAAAGCAGTAAACTGCGACCTACAAAAAAACACAACTTTTTTTAGCGCAGCAGGTACCAACTAAATGTCATTTTCAGCTTTTAAAGCTGTTGTCACTGTACATTTCCAGTGACATTCTTTTACCGCCCTGTCATTCAAAATTTATAAAAACTTTTCAAACTGTAATCAAAAATCAAGCTAATTGCTAAAGATTCACATTTCAGCTAGAGATCGATAACGGATTGTTAAATTTTGTATTTCGTTATCGGTGTCGCCTCAAAAAAGTTTTAAAAAATAGTATGTGGTTAAGTTGCATACTAAAAAAAAAAGTTCAGAATGAAAAAGCGAACTGAAATTTTCCTAAAAATTTAAAATAACAGTACTGTGCAAAGTGATTTTGCTCATTTTTTGTAACACTCAAAAATTTCCTTTTGAAATAACAGTATTGCAAAAGGAGGTGATGATGTAATCGTCACAAGATAGTTGTTTATTTGTTACATAAATATTTCAGCATAGGATTTACCGGAGAAGATGTTTGAAGCACACTGATATTGCAGTAAGTCAAAAAAAACTGGAGCACTTTTGTCTGGGATGCTGCTTTAAATTTTCATTTCCAAATAACGACCTTATTATTTATTTGAATTGACTACAGAACCTGCTATAATTTTCAGCAGCTAAAAAGGTAAAAGAGTCAGAAAAATCAAAGCTTAAGTCATGCAAGAAAAATAATTGTTTGTAAAGATTAATGATGTAAAGAAGGGTCAAATGAAAACATCTGTCAAAAATTTGGACCTATAGAAGTATTTTATCATATCAATTGGCTGCAACAGTTCCTAATGACGAAAACACGTTGCTTGTTATCGCTACAACTTTTTTGAATAAAACAGTA